AAATTGAATTATATTCTTTGAATTCCCATCTTTCTATTCGTATAAAAAAAAATTAAGGTTGACGATGAAAATTGTAAGAAATCATGCTTACAAAATCGTAGTTTTAAGACGGGTTAGATAGGAAATGCAAGCTTACGCGATATACAACCTACTGCTGCACTTATATAAATAACCCGTAAGGTGTAAAAAACATTATATCTTGTATATATTATTACGCAGTTTTCGATGACATGAGAAAAGTGTCTTGTTATCGAACAAAATTTTTAAAGAATCGGAGACTAAATATACAGTTGCGAGTTCAAGTCAGCTCTCAGCTGTCTGCCAGAGATGAGTAGAGAGATTGCTAACGCCAATGCTACGGCGTGAGACAACTTTTGATCGGGGCGACCCACTGCGGCCAGCCGTCGAACCAAGGCGCACATTTTTCGAGAGTGCGAGACTCGTATCGAAGAGCGTGCCCTACAGGAAGAGAAGTGGATTCGCGTGGAAATGAGCATACAGGCGCACATTTTGGCAAACGTAGAAGGGGTATACCAAGTATGTGCCACGAGGAGAAGAGTGGAAATGTTGACTATAGCTATATATCTGAGCGCACAGCCAAAGCAAGCGACGACATGAGTTTTTCTCTTTTGACTGCAACCGAGTACATGCTATCTATGTTTAACTTACTCTTGCTTTCTCGCTCTTGCTTGAATGTTATCTATCAATCTTACATTCGATTAAATCGTGAAACTAAATGCTCATAATTATATGCACAGAATTTGAATCAAACCTTTTTTTTCCGTACGTTAATACTTAATTTGAAATCTAGTATTATTTTAAAAAAATCTTCAGCTTATTTTTTTAAGGATAGCAGTTCAGCTATGAGGCTCTTTTACAGTCAAGCTTGAATCAGATGGCGCCAGGGCACATCGCGGCTGTCATGGCTGTCGCACTTACACACCGTCAAATTTACAGTTGTGTATTGTGTCCGTGAGCCTATCTGTGTGATGAGCATAGCAGAAGACATAACCTTTGTAAATGATTGCGGTTGTTTGCAGACAATTTTTGTTTGCATTTACGTTTAAAGATAGTAGGAAAAATTAAGTGCAGTGTAATATCCTGCGATAAGAAAGTGAAATTTAAATTTCTTTCCGATAGTGTGATAAAAAAAAGTGGCTCGAAACAATTGGGAGACCAACATTTTTGCCGCTCCCAAGTCCTGGCTTATGCCTCGACCACTTTGCCTCCACGAGTTCTGCTTTTCTTCCACTGACTCTTGCTCCTTTCCCTTTTAAAAGCTTTTTCAATTCTGAAACTTTTAAGCTCCCATAATATTCTTTCTTGTCTTCCTTATTCATTTCAAAATTTCAAATATTGCGCTTTACCACTACACTTTAATTTCCTATATACATACAATACTGAAAAGTAATGTTGTATGCGTGAGACGGCCATGACAGCCGCGACGTGCCCTGACGCCATCTGATTTAAGCTTGACTGTAAAAGAGCCTCATATAACCACTGGTTAATTATTTTTCCTTATCATAATTGTTATGAACTGTAGGACAAGCCCCGGAGGTT